TATTTTAAAAAAAATCCTTCGGCGGCCAAAACTCGATCGAGTATACCCCATACTCGACCGAATACACAAACCTAAACCCCCCCTTTTTGTTATTAGTTAATTAAAAAGAGAAATATTCCTTTCCCTGTGGATACGAACCTTACTTCACTATACTACGTATTTGTGTTGTATTGTATTATTACTTTGAGTGCACACCGCGACAAAGTGCACGTCACTAACCAGATTAATTAATGCATTTGATTAAGAATGGACCCACGCACTCATGACCTGCCGTATTCTATCTCAGTGGGTGAAAAAAAATCAAAATTTTTTGCTCGAAGAATAAAATCAATTTTTTATCTCCGACCATCATATTAATTTACCAAATCATGTGCCAGAAGGTTACAATAGTATCAGGGATAACATCATAACAACATAACTGATCTGGGATGGACACGTGTGCTCTTGCTAACGCATGAGCTACACGATTCGCAGATCGCTTACAAAAAGAGATAGTAACATTACTCTTATCTTACATCAAATATCTAATATCCTCAATAAGAAGGAAAAGGTAAGAAGTTCCTCCCCCATTTTTGAGCCCTTGGACCACAGTGAGAGCATCAGTCTCAATCTCCACGTGAGACCATCCTGCTTCAGATGCCCCAATAATTGCCTCGTGAATGCCCACCGCCTCTGTCTCCACACTCGACCAGCTAGCAAGCTCTGAGGCCCCCTTTGCCTTTAAAAAATTACCGTGGTGATCACGTGCAACCCATCCCCAGGCACGAACATTCCTGTCTTCATCCACCGCTCCCTCCACATTTATATTGATAAAACTAACTTTGTTTTATTTCTACAAAAATACTACGAAGACTTGATTTCATTATATTCTTACTCCTAAAATGTATTCCCATCATTCTTCCTTAATAAATCAATTTTTTATTACTACATTTATACGGAGTATAAAAGTTATACTCCATCAATCAAACACCTAATATATCCACTAGTACATTTTTTCATTAAATCCTCATGCCAGATTTGCTTCGAGTGGGTTCGTAGCCATTGTCAGAGCACTATGGGCGCTCCGGGCAGAATTCCCCATGCTGTTAGATTTGCTTACACAGCTTGGTTGATTTGGAAGACACGGAATGCGATGATATTCGATGGCATTCAACTTGATGTACACCGTCTTGTGAATTCTGCCAAATTCTTGGCTGAAGAATATATTGATGTTCTCCCTTATACTCAAATCAAACAACGGAAAATACCTAAACATATAAATAAAATGGATTCCGCCGAGCACAGGTTTTTTAAAACTCAACTGTGATGGATCTTGTCAAGGTAGGGATAAGATGGCCGAAGCTGGTGGTTTAATTCGAAACCATAAAGGAGAATGGGTGAGTGGTTTTATGTTTAATATTGGAAAAACTGACAGCTTTAAGGCAGAATTGTGGGGTTTAAGACAAGGGCTTCTTTTAGCTCGGGATCTCGATCTCAGGAAGGTAATTGTTGAAACTGATTGTGAGAGTATGCTTCAAGCTCTGAAAAATCGAGATGGACAGAGTGCCACTACTACAGGAGTGCTGGTGCGGGATTGTCAGAAGCTTTTGGCCGAAGAGAGATTTATTAAACTACAACACATTTTTCGCGAAAGGAACAAATGCGCAGACATGTTGGCGAATACATCTTGTCAATCTTAATTGATTTCATCAGAATAATATGAATAAATTAGATATAATAGCTGGACCTGAGATTCTCGTTGTGACAGACGGGAATATTCACCTCGGACCACTAGTTATCGTTCTTAATTTATTTCATTAAATCGACCGAATGCTACTATTAAGATCAACATATGACGTTTGTTCTATATTGATTGATTAATAGTAAAGATTATTAATGAACGTGTCTCGTTATTAATAACTCTCCTAGATGAATTGGAATTTCTCCACAATTAAGTATTCAAGAGGAATCATACTAACTCCGCCCCAAAAAATTTTGCCATTTTCAAAACTTTGACCGACTATAATTTTTTATTGAAAATTATTTATGATATAAAAATTATATGAAAATGTTCTTTGTTAAAATTACTTTCATAAAAGCACAAAATTTATAACTTCCATAATATCATACTTATTAAAATAAGGGTACAGATTTTTTGAAATGGCAAAGCTTTTTGGGACGAAAGTAGTATTTAAAGTAGTAACAATGATCAATGAGCATTTCACTAAGTGGAAATTAGCAAAACTAAGGCTGGTTACCTTTGAAATTTTATTTCACTCATTTAAATATTTTATTTGCTTTCTCAATGATCAAAATATGTAATCCCCCCTTCCTTTTACTTTATATATTACGCTTACACATATGTTAAGACAAGGGGTTCCATCCTAAAAGGTCAACCTGTTAGGAGGAGTAGCATAAAGCTTAATATAGCACTCAAATGTTTCTCAATTTACCGGTGTGGGATATTTAACAACATACGCGAAAAGCTCATTTCTTTGTGGATACGAACTCTACTACGTTATACTACAATATTAGCCCTTAGTAGTGAATTTAACTTGAGGCACACAATGATTTTAGTATCGTCATTCTCTAGCCCCAAAATTTGAGGTGAAGAAATTCTAGGGTTAACACTATTTGGAAGTCACGGATCCATCCAAATAATGTTGATGGATTTCTCATTTCCTTCCCTCTATTGTAAGCATCTTTAAGCGTGGCAGTCAAAAAGTTGCCCTTGGATAGTAGCGGGCTGTAAAGACCCCCTTCGAAAGTTGCCCTTCCAAGTATGAGGTTCAGTAAAAATACAACACGCCTGTGTAACTAACATTGATTAATGGGAAAATGTGCACATAGGCCCATGTACTAACCAAAAAAGGTCAAATAAGCCCTTATTTAGGAGGCTCTGTCCGGCCGTCGTCATTTGGGGTGGTTCCCGGTGGATTTTTTTGATGAAATTTTTTGAGCATCTTACTCATCAGGTATAGTTTACTCATACTAAATTTCAGCTAAAACTTCAATTGGGAAGGCATTCAAATGAATTCTTGAAGATAACTGCGATTCAAATGAATTCTTGAATTCTCTAAATTATACAAATTTTCTTGCATTTCAATCATAATATTAAGAAAGGGTGAATTTTAAATTGTTAAATTATTCACAAAAAGGGTTCCGCTCATGATTTATTATAACAGAGGAGAGGGGTTTGACATATTTTTAAATGACATAGGGTAATGCAGTGCATTTGCATATCACGAAATGGCTTAAAACGTATTCGTTGCCTTCCGGGGTGCTAGGAGCGTTTCAAAAATCGTTTCCCAAGGATATGATGACTAACAAGCAACCGTTTAAGTACTTAAATGATTGTTCCGGCAAACGTGAACAAAGGCAGAACACAGAGGATTTTTCAGAGAAAGCTGGAGGCTTTTCTAGCTAAAGAAATACATGAGGAGAGTATTGTACTGTGTGTATGTGGTGTTTGTTGCAAACCACCTGCCAGCCTTGGTTTGGATATAAACATTGGTAATCAATGTCCAGCTCGTTGGTCCATAAACCTATCCGTTTAATGCAAAGGAACGTTGGCCATTAATGCTGTAACGTTCCAGCAGCAGGCAACGGGGCTGCACATGGAGCAAAAAATTAGAAACGTAACGGAAGAACAAAAATATATGTTTATCTTTAGAAAATTGAATTTTCAGACGGCATTCGTGTGCATCGGACACCCGCACACACTACAAACAAAACGCCATATACTAACGGTAGAAAAACTGTTGGTATAGATATATAAACTCTTGGAATATATATTATTTAGCTATACCAACTAGGGGTGGTCCGGTTCCGGGCCGGGCCCGGTTCCGGGCCGGGCCCGGTTCCGGGCCGGGCCCGGTTCGGGCCTTGAACCGGCCGGGCCTCGGTTCAAGGTAAGGGAGGCCCGAGCCCGAATCGGCGGTGACCGGTTCTGGGCCGGTTCACCTGCCCTATTTTTTTTTTTTTTTCTTTTTTTGCTTCTCTTATTGAACCCCCTACCCCTCCCCCTCAACCCCAAACCACCTCAAATGCCCCAAAATACCTAATCCAACCCAAAACTCAAAAAAAATAAAAAAAAATAAAAAAATTAAATCCGGCCCGGCCTGGGCCCGAACCGGCCGGGCCGGTTCACCAAATGGAGGGCCCGGGCCCGGAACCGGTATCCACCGGGCCAGTTTGGCACGAACCGCCGGTGGACCGGGCCGCCGGGCCGGTTGCTACAGTGGCCGGGCCGGGCCAGTTCCGGGCCGGGCCGCCCAGCCCGAGTCCATCCCTAATACCAACTAGGCATGGACCCGATTCGGGCCGCCCAGCCCGCCACTGTGCGGGCCCTGAACCAGCCCGGTTTTCGGGTCCGAGTCCAGGTCGGGCCTAGGCCCGGTGGGGGGCGGGGGCGGGTCCGGGCTCGGGCCTTGTATTTGGCGAACCGGCCCGACCAGGTCGGGCCCGGGCCGAATTGTTTTTTTGTTTTAATTTTTTTTTTTCATTTTTGGGGTTAGCCGGGTTGGGCTTGATGGTTAGGAGGGGTTTGGGGGTTTGGGGGGGGTGGGGGGTGAGTGGGGGGGTTAGGAAAGCAAAAAAAAAATTATGACCGAACCGGAGGCCCGGCCCGGCCCGGACCCGGACCAGACCCGGTGGCTACCCGGGCCGGTCCCGGGCCTTCCTTCCCAAAAAAAAAGCCCGGCCGGGCCCGGCCCGGAACCGGGTCCATGACTAATACCAACAGAAATATAAGCAATTCCCACGGAAATTCTATTGTTAGTATACGTTTCGTCGGTATAGATCAACACCAACACATTTCTTTACCGTCGGAATAGCTTATTACAATGTACCAACATAATACTAGCTGTTGGTATTCATATTTGCCGTCAGTATAGACAGACCAATTTACTATCCTTTGCTATGCTTAGTATGCTATAACAACAGTTGCCATACCGTTGGTGTAGTTCTGGGAATTGTTATTGAATATCTCGTAGCCCACATGCATTCCAAATACAGCTCAAAAAATAAAAATATTATTTCAAATACCATTCAATACTAATGCAAGCATGTGATTAACATCCGTAGGATAAAAAAGAAGTGATACAACCACATTTCAATTTCAAAAAAGTAAATTCAACTGATTCTTTTACTTGATATAAAATTTTAAGTTAATACATATTGAGAAGCCAAAATATAAAATAAGATTTTGGCCTAAACGAAAAATGAAAAGTTCTATTATTTCTCCAAAAGCTTCTTTCTCTTTCCATGTGTAATCAGCCAATTCTCAATACCTGAAATGAAAACAATTCCTTACAATATTTAGCCATATAAATAATAATAAAAAGTTGTTTGCTAAAATGATAAATAAAGATGAAATAAAGTATATAGTTATACATAGTAAATAACCTTATTTCATATAGTTCTTGACCTAAGCACATAGTACAGATTAAATACTAGAGTTAAATACACTTTGTCTCTCCACTTGAACACAACCATATGAAACTGATCGCACATGATGATAATACAATGCCCTATCATAAAAAGTTTGGATTTCATAGGACCTCCAAAAATCTCAAAATGGTTCCAGAAACTAAAGTTTAAATGGGGAAACTGTCAAATAGGTCCTCGAACTTTCATAAAAAGGTCAATTAAGTCCTACTATAGGAGGTTCTGTCCGGCCGTCGCAATTTGGGGCAGTTCCCGGTGGAATCTTTTGATGAAATTTTTTGAGCATCTTATTCACCAAGTGTAGTTTACTCATACCAAATTTCAATTAAAAATTCAATCGGGAACACATTCAAATTAATTCTTGAAGATAACTGCGCATTTTTGCGTTTTCGAATTAATTTGAATGCGCTCTCGATTAAAATTTTAGCTGAAATTTGTTATGAGTAAACTAGACTTGATGAATAAGATGCTCAAAAAATTTCATCCAAAAATTCCACCGGGAACCGCCCAAAATTGCGATGACCGGACAGAGTCTTCTATAGAAGGATTTAATTGACTTTTTTATGAAAGTTCGAGGACCTATTTGACAGTTTTCCCAAGTTTAAATATACCTTGTCTGTCCACTAGATTACTAGATCAGAACCATTCAGGATGTAAAACTTTATGTTCTTCAGGAAGGTCAAACTATACCATATGAATTCCTCTACTAAACATAACAACCAACCTGCTTGCCCAAAATGACAACCTATTCAACCTCAAATTTGCTAGAATGTGCTCTCTTCTACAGACTATCATATCATAAGAAGTTAATCAAAGATACTATCATCCGGGTGTCCAGGTACTCTTTTTATTTTCAGTAAACAAATAACAAGGGGTGTGAATTCAAACTAACCAAAAATCAGCCATGACGGATTTTCTATCCTCTCAAAATATCAACTGCGCTTTCAAGCTTAGGTATGACGGGTTTAGGCCTTTGGAAATCTCCATGGTCATCACTGTATTTAAAGATTTGAGAAATCATGAAAAGAACCATTTCTATAGAAAGGAGTTGATATATAACAGGAGCTGATACATATGTCGTACCTTGTCCAAGGTGCTAGTTCATTATCACGTCTAACAAATAAGAACCTGTACATCTTAAACCCTGGCAAACAAAAATGAAGTGTCAAAGACATCCCGCAGAGCACTTTTTTTCAAAATTACTTTCATTGTTTGTGACAATCTCATACCCTTTCTGTTCTTAAGTGGGACGCTTCTCTTTCTCAGATCTGTCCATCAAAATAATAAAAATACAGCTGAGGTGGGGAGAAAACAAATACATAAAAAAGTTTACTAAAAAAATACCAAACCCATTTAGTATTTGCACAAGTTAGTGCCAAATGCCAAACCTGTCTCAATAAACATTTGCACAAGTTAGTGCCAAATGCCAAACCTGTCTCAATAAACATTTGCACAAGTTAGCGTAATTAAAAAAGAGTGAAATCTAAAAAAACATTTGCAAGTTTGTTACATATGCAGAGTATACACACACAAGTCATAAACACACATAACATTGTGCATAAATCTAAAACATCTTAAATACATAAGATATAATGTAATAATGACAGCTTGATAGATGTACCATTTCATATTGCTTTTGAATAGTGAGGATGTCTTCGGAGTGCACCCTACATAAATTAAAAAGGGACGCAGGAAGCCAGTAGGAAAGTTTTTCTAACCTGCAGCAAAGTTTAGTTGGGTGACGCATATACTTCAACTTCTGCTCTGAAGAGGGGTATTGGCTCATTAAGTTAGTACCACTACTGAAACTTGTTACTTTATCTGGAGATAAAAGAGATCATTGAATAAAACACTTTCCCCTTTGACAGATGCAACAAATGATCACTGAAAAAAGCAAAACTTACCAGTCCACAGCTGAACAAATTGAGAAAAAAATTGCTTTTCTGGAAATCTACTTCTTTGGATAGTGAGTTTGACCAGAGTCCCTATTAAAAAGCAATGGAACACATTGCAAGCAAGGAAAAAGTAACATCACTACTGAAATATGGAAATGCTTTGATTGAACATAAAAGTAAATCAAGGAAACTGAAATTATGAGAAGAAAAACATAAACTATTACTATTACTATTATTATTATTATCATCATTATTACTATTACTATGTTCATCAGCACAACATATACAAGTCCACCTGACTTGTCTTGAGTCATATGCATATAAAAGAATGTGAAGTCTTATGAAAATATAAAGGGAATCGGCGAGTTTATTTTACTGAAAAAATGTTTAATTTCATATTTTCATTATAAACCCACCAGTAGTTAATTCTATGTTGCATTTAACCTGCCTGCAATGATGCAATATAAATCAAATTTCAGCAAAATTCTTTGGTCCTAGACTATGTAGCACCGATACCGGTACGCGGAAACGCGGAAACGCGTACGGGGATACGTCAAAATCAAAAAAAGTAGGATACGGATACGGGGCCATATTTATAAATATTAAAAGTTATGGGGGTGTATTTACAAATATTAAAAGTTATAGGGGTCTATTTATAAATTATAAAAATAGATTTTTTTTTGAAAATATATATATATATAAATATATATATATATATATAATATATATATAGACACACACACACATAATATCCTATGATGTCTACCCATTCATTGCATTGAAGCATTTTCCTTTTTCAAGATACTTAGTAATAAATTCATAATATTTCTCATATACACTAGTATGAGTTAATTTAAAGTGCAAACAACTATCCAATTCGGAGTCAATATACACAAATATAAATATAAAGTGCAAACAACTATACACAAATATAAATATAGTCAATAAGTCATTAATTTAAAATGAGAAATAAGTCAAACAACTACAATCTTGAAATTAAAAGTGCAAGTATCCAATTCGGAGTATGAGTTAATGACTTAATTCGGATATAGCCATATAGGCCCATTGTTTGATTACCAAGTAAAATGTAGTTTTAGATTTTCATTTTTGTTTAGAATTTTATTAAGTAAATTTTGGGATTTTTTTTTTAAAAAAGTTGATACGGGTATCCGTCAGGATACGAGTATCGGAAACTTTCAAAAAATTACAAAAAAAAATGGAAACTTTTAAAAATTGCAGATACGGCCCGGGAACGTACGGTACGCGGCCCGGGAACGTACGGTACGGGTATCCTAGAGTATCGGATACGGGAACGTATCGGATACGCCGATACGCTACCCTAGCGAAGTATCCGTGCTTCATAGGTCCTAGACATTTCAGCAATAATTATAGTATGTGAGCAGCTTAAAAAAACTCCTACTTCGTATGTAGCAGCACATATCATCTTATGTCATGAAACATTATTTCGTTGAGATCTAAAGGATATTTTCTAGAATACTGCCGAGTTATTTCTGGCAAATCTAGATTACCTACATCAATTTTGTCTTTATCAGCTTGAAACAATTTTATTTATATTTTTTGAATGACGGTGCTAAGTAAATTGTCCACATTTAAAATAAATTTAATAGTAGGGAGGCAATTATTGGCGTGTGGTTACTTATATGAGCATATTCTCCAAATTTCAATCTAATCCATATAGATAGAGTTGAAGTAATTTAAGGTCAACATCTAAAACGGCCTAAGCCAATAAAGGTCACCTTTAAATATCCAATTGATAAACATGTTTGAAGAATCTCAAAATAGAAGTAGAAAATCTAAATTAAAGGAAAGGAGATCCGAACAAGAGCTAGAGAAAAATTCCTTACATGTATTCAATGTAGGAGTCATCTGGAACAATTGAATAAGGTGATTTCGTATTTTTATCCCTCCTCAAAAGAAAGTTGAATAAATTGAGATGCAATCTTTTGAATTATGAAATGAGGTAGAACATCTCTTAGATCTATCACCCCGAGTCCAAATTTCTCACCCTAAACTTCGGAGGGATTCCGTAGCAGCCAGCTTCCGAATCGCTAACAATATTTGACTTCACACAACTCGAATCACATAATAAATAGTTAGTCGTTGTTGGGAGTAGGCAACTGGAAGAAATACACCCAACTTTGTTTATTTTCAGCACCAAAGTTATAGAATCTGAATAGCATACAGAGTATAGACAGCGGTGGCGGAGAGAATCAGCGGAGAGAATCGGCGGAGAGAGGCGGCGGAGAGAATCGGCGGAGAGAGGCGGCGGAGCTACTGTTAGTGTTGAAATCGTATGAGTAGCGTGCTGCGTGCGTCTGTGTCCTGGTTGGAGAGGAACAACCTGCTTCAGTAAATACAATCTCCTCCCTTTTTTCAAAGTATTTCTACTCACGCCTTCCATTGTGATTGTTGCTATATCTCATCACTACACCAACAAATATAATTTGAATGTAAGAATTACATAGCATTTACCAAATACCAACAACGTAAATAGAATGTTAGAATTGATATTGTAATAACCAAAGGAACAGATTTGTTGTAGGTATAGGCATCCTATACCAACAGTTATTGTCTGTTGGTATAAATTACTGTTAGTAAATGGCAATTTATTTGTAGTGACACGCAAATCACTGTTTTTGTTCTCCATTTTCGGAATTTGATTCACATCCCTTCCGCACAAGAGAGAGCCTTTACCTTCAGGAATCTTAACTCTTAAGGGAGGTTTCCTTTTATAAAGGGTTCAAATTCCCTTGGATTTTCAGGTGTGGGAAAAAACCACACTAGAAACCCCTCTTTTCATAGTTTTTCTCCATTCCAACGAGTGAACTTTAAGAATCAATTTCTCATTCGCCCGTTATCCGTTTTGAGCATACCATATATCAAATTGTAGCCCTAAGCACGGACAATCCAAAACCACTTTGACCCGACACAAATCGGAAGTGGAGCCCACTCAAAAAAATTACCCCAAAATGACCATTTAATGCAATTTACTAACACATTTTTCAACAATATATAATGAATAAGGTGTCCAAAATACAATAGAAAACCTACAAAGGTGTTCAAAATACATTAGGAAACTTACTAAATACAACTTAACAATATAATGTAAAAAAACACTACTACTAGACTCTAGATCTTATTTGAAACTTCAGCCTTGTTTGACGATTGACTTGTAGCTGTTAGGTGATAGATGGTTGTGACAACAGTCTAATAATAGCTAGTTGTTTTAGCTGTTTTGGTTAGTTGTTTATGTTAGCTTGTTATCAACAATTGTTTGACAAAATTTGTGGTTTAAGAGTGTTGTTAGAGTGCAAAAGCACTTATAAGGACATCGACGTATACACCTATTGTATATTATAGCTTTGTCATCCTTGTCTTTTCATCAACTAATTTGTGATTCATATTATTTTGTCTCATCCACACAAAGCTCAATCGCATACTTTTTAGTTTATTATTTATATGTTGGTCAAACTTAGTAAAATTATAAGCGTTCGAGTGAAAGTATTATTTTAGATATATATATATATATATATATATATATATATATATATATATATAGAGTAATGATCCTGTCCGGACGTCCGGACAGGGAACCGCCGTCCGGACCGCGGCGTTTGGCCGCCTTCCCGGTGGCGTTTTTTGATGAAATTTTTATGGCATGTTCTCCATCAAGTCTAGTTTATCCACAAAAAAATTCAGCCAAAAACTCAATCGGGAAGGTCGTCAAATGATTTTTGCAAGTTAACTGGTCCGGAATATGTATTTTCCGGACCAGTTAACTTGCAAAAATCATTTGACGACCTTCCCGATTGAGTTTTTGGCTGAATTTTTTTATGGATAAACTTGACTTGATGGAGAACATGCCATAAAAATTTCATCAAAAAAAACCACCGGGAAGGCGGCCAAACGCCGCGGTCCGGACGGCGGTTCCTGTCCGGACGTCCGGACAGGAATATTTGTCTATATATATATATATATATATATATATATATATATTGCTAAGTAAAAACCGTTCTATGTTACAAAACATTGTTTTTTTTTTGGAAAATATGTTACAAAACATTGTTAAAAAGATTATTTTGAAATCAACTATTCTCTTAAGTTTAATGGAAAGACTATTGTCTTACTCCGTATTATTTTGAAAAAGAGTGCCCGTATGTTCTTAGTCACTCGTACAAACTTACAAATTAAAACATTAGTAAAAGCACATTGCCCATCCTCCTGGAATCCCGAAAATCCTCAACCATTCAAACATGAAAAATAGAACTGACAAATTCTATGAAGAGTGAAGTAGCATGCACAACAAAATTTACGGAGGTATATGATGAAGGAGACCAACACTGATAAGATACGGACAAGCTAAACCTAAACGCTGCGCATGCTAGCATTTCAATTTTTAGCTACTTGGGTTCAAAAAGCTAAACTAATCAGCCATTTACTAAACAACCCATTTAGTTGTTTAGATAGTTTAAACTCCAAAACATTAATTGTAGTCAAACAAGCTAAGAATTGGTTGATAAGCAGCCATTTTCCAAACAAGCTAAGGGTTCTACAAGCTAGCAACAAACAAGGCACTCCATATTCAGACATCTGGCTGAAACAACGTAACATTGATTGGCCTCATCCAAAAGATCAGCCAATTCGAGAAGATCCGCCACACATAGATAATGGTCATCTGATGAATAATCCTAAACCAAATTTCAAGTTAGTTAATCTTTCTTTGACAATCCAAAATTCAAAATATGGACATCGTTATTGATGAAAAGTGTGTGAATAGGAACATCATACTTTCATATTGATAAAAAGAGTTGAATTAAAGGACTAAATATTTAGAACAACTTACATATTTAATGATTTCCTCTTGATGACTCTCCTGTTTGAGATCCTGGGCGCTTTATTAGGCCCATTGCAGACTTTAAGTGTTCCACTGTGGTTAACTTCACTTGCTCTTTCTTATTCCAATCGTAAACCACTATAGGAAACTTCACTAGTTCTTCAACTATTTCCTTTTCATCTGAATCTTTGTACTTTAAAACTAATTTGGATAGTGTTCCCCATTGATTCACCAAATCCAAAATCCAATCAGGGGCTGCTTTGGAATTTTCATTTCCGAAAAAATCTGATATGAAGTGTAGGATATGGTTGAATCGGAGTGACTCACAGATAGTGGTGATGAGGGTTAGTACATGTCGTGCCACATCTGACAATTTCTTTATATTTATTTCATCTTTCTTTACACCCTTCAAAAAGCGCAACGACCTACTTAACATTTCGGGTCTGCCAAGAAGAGTCCGTTTGTCAGGGGACATGCACCTTAAGCTAATATAGTCCATATTTAGACTTATCAATTGTGACCCCTCAATTTCTTGCATCCTAAGATTGTTGTCTCTCATTTCAAGCCAACCATCATCGCCCTTAAATCCTATAACATAAAGATCGCTTCTTCTTACGGCAACTTGTAACTCTGTATCATCATACCTTAGATCTAAACGGAACAATTTTTTCTTTTCCTTTTCATCGACCGGTTCAACAACTAGTAGGTCTCCTAATGGGGTACCGAAACTCATACGTAAGTCATTGATAGTGTTTATGAAAGTTGTTGGGTCACGAATTTTTGAAAAATCTAGCACTTCTGTATTCCAGAATTGTTCATCGGCCATGCTGTACGTTTAGTCTATGACTGTAATATAGTACAAGAATAAATTTTTAATCAGTCGTTTATTAGTGTAGTATACAAAAATTAAAACACATTACATACATATATACTACGTATACATTACGCCAGGTACATATATGTAGATCAAGTATCTTCTTAGCTTCAATTCTTAGATAGTATTTCCCAATATTATTGTAACAAGTATTACAATTTTTTTTTATGCGTAACGTAATGAAACATATGTTTCAAACATCTCAATAAGGAGGAATGTAGACATATGTTTCAAACATCAAAATAAGGAGGAATCCTCTTACATATGCATATTCAAAAAATTAAATATGATTAAAAAATAATTTAAGAAAGAACTTTTAAATGAATAAAACTAAGCCGAACCTCTTTCGAAAATAGAGAATGCGGGCATTCCACCAACTAATACTATGTACGGGTATAAATCAAAGCATTAATTACGACTCATAACTATCCACAAATAGCATTTTCTAAAGCGTCAAAATACAAGTTTTAAAAAACTCATGGTAAAAGGAGTTGTTTGCACATTCTGAAATACTCCGTACGTATGAAATAAAGAAGTTGTTTAATTTACTACTAGTAGTAAATATGTACCTGGCTTCAAAATAAAAACACACTCCCTATATATGAAGCAAATCAGAAAGAAAATAGGAACAAAATAGAAATGTTAGTAACCACGTACTGTTCAAAAAAAATATGATTAAAAAATACTCCGTATAAAGATTTTTTTTTAAATGAACAAAACTGAACCCATTTTCGAAAATAGATAATGCATTCCACCAAGTAATATAAATCAAAACATTATTAGTACTCATAATTTTCTACAAATAGCATTTTCTAAAGCGTCAAAATACAAGATTTAAAACACTCATGTAAAAGGAGTTAGTTTACAGATTCTGGAATATGAAATGAATAAGTTTTTTACTACTAGTCTACTAGTAGCTAGTAAAACGTAGCTGGCTTCAAAATAAAAACACACTCCCTATACATGAAGCAAACCAGAAAGAAATGTCAACAACCACTGTTCAAAAAATTTGATTAAAAAATAAAAAGAAAGAACTTTTAAATGAATAAAACTAAGGCGAGCCCATTTTCGAAAATGAAGAATGCACTCCAACAACTAATAAAAATAAAAGCATTATTACTTCTCATAACGAACTATCTACAAATAGCATTTTCTAAAGCGTCAAAATACAAGATTTAAAAAATTCACGGTAAAAGATCGAAGTTGTTTACAGATTCTGGAGTATGAAATAAAGTTGTTTTATTTACTACTAGTGGTAATACGTACCTGGCTTCAAAAGATGGACGATAGAAATGTTAGCAGCCACTGTTCCACCATGCAGATAAAAAGACAGCTCTAAAAGGTCGAATAATCTTTTGAAGATGGAACACGGCTTCTTTCCATCATGAGATCTAAAGAAGGTAAGCTAGGGCTGTTAGAAAAAGATTGTTTGCAAGACAGTATTTAAAAAGCTAAGCCATAGCAAAGAAAAACGAATGATCTAAACAGAGTATATATATATACACATGTATTAAAAAAAAACTGACCATATCATGTCTATTCAATAGGTAAAAATATCAATGGATAAGTAGATCAGAAGATTTCAGAGGAATGAAGAATGAGAGTGTATATTCCCTAGAGAAGAAAAGATGGACAGAAAAAGAAGCCGGCAAAATGCACTTACCAATCTCAGACGTTGACCAAGACCACCACGTACAGCGTCGCACCGGGAATACCACCACGTACGGCGTCGCACCGGGAATACCACCACGTACGGCGTCGCACCGGGAAGACTACCACCGCACCACACGTACAGCGTCGCACCGGGAATACCACCACGTACGGCGTCGCACCGGGAATACCACCACGTACGGCGTCGCACCGGGAAGACTACCACCGCACCACACGTACAGCGTCGCACCGGGAATACCACCACGTACGGCGTCGCACCGGGAATACCACCACGTACGGCGTCGCACCGGGAAGACTACCACCGCACCACACGTACAGCGTCGCACCGGGAATACCACCACGTACAGCGTCGCACCGGGAAGACCACCACGTACAGCGTATATCCTTTTGAAAATGCTCCTAATAAACTTGACTGGTCACTCGTTAGCAGAGATGAGCAAACCAGAAAAGAGAGCGTGTGAAGATATGAGTATTATTAGAAGTTTTGTTATTACAGTTAGTCGTACATACTTGTTATAACAAATTTAACTGTATTAACAGTTCTATACACTTCTATAAATACTGATGTACTCAGACTGTCAATCGATGATTCTAATTCTTGGTCAGTAAGAAATGCATTTTTCTCAGTTCTATATTCAAACATTTCTACAGAGCGGAAACGGAAATGCTTGCAGCTGATTTGTACGAAAGAATCATTTTGCATATGTACGAACCAATAAAGGCTGGAGAGAAAAATAGGCCTAGACAAAATAGGTTTAAATTTCCTATGTAGTCCGTATAATAAAAAAAAAGGTCCAAAATGGCTGTGGTGAACTGGTGATCCCAAGGGCCAAGGGGTGGATGTGTACATAATAACAATGGAAAACAATACAAACTTAAGTTGTGCTTGGAAATAAGGAGTAATAATTTGAATTAAAATTGAATGTTTTAGTCTTTTTCTTCTTTTTCTTTGCAAAGGAATGTTTTGAGGCTTTTGAGTCTTTGAGAATAATTTTGGACAATATAAAACTAAACATTTAAAATAATCCTCTGTCTCTAAATAAAAGTCTCTATTATATTTCCTTTTTGGCTCATCCCTAATAATAAAAAGGGAAAAGGTGCAAATAAGCCCTGGAGATGTTTTATTTGGTAAATAAAACAGTGCAAAAGAGTCCAAATTAGTGTCAAACCGTGCATCCTCTTAGAATGGGTGTAAAGCAAAAGGGATCGGACCTTTATGACAGAGTTAAGTGCTCCGGGATAACATATAAGACACAGTTAACTTGAAAAAAATCTTTCGATGACCTTCCCAATTGAATTTTTTGCTCAAATTTGGTATGGATGAATTAGACTTGATGACAAACATACACACAAAAAAGTTGAGCAAAAACTACCACCGAGAACCACCGAGAACCACCTCAAATTGAGGTGGCCGGACCAATGTCCTGTTCGGCCTGGTCGGACAGGAATATTTCTGTGTGTGTGTAGAGGACTTTTCATGTCGAGCCGGCCTGACGGGAACCACCGTCCGGCCGAGGGCATTTCGGGCACTTCCCGGTGGAATTTTTTGATGCAATTTGTTGAGCATGTTCTTCATGAAGTCTAGTTTATCCATACCAAATTTCAGCTAAACATTCAATCGGGAAGGCACTCAAATAATTTTTTGAAGTTAACTGGGCAGTTCATACATATAAACTGCCCAGTTAACTTCACAAAATTATTTGAATGTCTTCCCGATCGAATTTTGAGCTGAAATTTGGTATGGATAAACTAGACTTCATGAAGAATATGCTCAAAAAATTTCATCAAAAAATTTCATCGGGAAGTGCCCGAAATGCCCTCGTCCAGACGGCGGTTCCCGTCAGGCCGGCTGGACAAGAAGACTACTCTATATATATATAGGGTAAGGTTCAAGCGAGAAGAACCCTTTAGGTGAGAAGTGAGAACGAATCTCAGCAATTGGATTCGACTAAGTTGCAGTAAAAGACACTTCATGATGCACTTAAATATGCAATCTAACACGGTGGCATTTCTGTAAATACTTTTGAAATATCCGTATTACACTTGTGTACTGCAACATGAAGCTATTTCGGTGCAACGCCGTCAAATATAAGTGCAATGTGAAACAGTTTTAGTGCAACAGTGCAAAGTTTTAATATTACTGCAACATAAAGTCATTTTTAGTGCAACTTCGTAAATCTAATGACTGAGATTCATTCTCATTTCTCACATTAGATGCATTTCTCACTTGAACATATATATATATACATATATATATATATACATATATATATATATATACATATATATATACATATGTATATATATATATATAGAGTGCTCTTCATGTCAGGCCGGACTGACAGGATGCTCCGTCCGGCCGAGCCCGTTTGGGAACCTTCCCGGTGGAATTTTTTGATGAAAATTTTTAAACATGTTCCTCATCAAGTCTAGTTTGTTCATACCAAATTTCAGCTCAAAATTCGACCGGGAAGGTATTCAAATCATTTTTTGAAGTTGAATGCGTAAAAATATACATAGAAAACTGCAGTCAACTTCAAAAACTGATTTGAATGCCTTCTCGATCGAATTTTGAGCTGAAATTTGGTATGGACAAACTAGACTTGATGAGGAACATGCTCAAAAAAATTCATCAAAAAATTCCACCGGGAAGGTGCCCAAACGGGCTTGGCCGGACGGAGCAGCCCGTCAGGCCGGCCTGACATGAAGATTTGTCTATATATATATATATATATATATATATATATATATATATATATATATATATATATATATATATATATATATATATATATATATATATATGTTTGTATGTATGTATGTATGTATGTATGTGTGTGTGTGTGTGTCTATGTGTGTGTGTGCATATATATATATATATATATATATATATATATATATACATACATATATATCTGTGTG